CTCCTAGCACAGGCTCTCCGCCGGGAACTTTATAATAGTATAAATTTATTCCCGGAAATTAACTACTCCGCCACGCTGGCCATGTAAAATGACACTTCTGCCCTCTCCGCTTCTCCGCGGTACTGTAGGCTAGTTGGAAGTCCTCCGCGTGTCGAAACTTTCGTCCCGGGGGTGTATAAGTAAGGAGCTTATACTATAGCTCATGTGGGGCAAGCGCGTGCATTGTTTTGAAACAGGTTTTGATGTATCCTGAGCCCACCACCAATGGCTCGCGACATTCGTGCTGGGATAGCCTCAAAATTTACTGAATCACACTGGTCCTGGGTTGGTAGGGTTTGGGGTCAAGATGGGTTGAGGGTTGGCATCTTGAACAGACCTTGCACCAGTAGGCTGTGCTTTCCTCTACGCTACAGTGGTCTCCACCTACCTCTTAGGCTTGAAACTTCCACGCCACCAGTGCTGGTCGATTTGCAGACTGGGAGCTTGGGAAGAAGACTCAGAAGTGAAGGAGCTTGTGTCCTTGCCATATGAAGCACCCCTGGTATCAGCTCGCAGATCAACATGCCACAAATGGAAGCCCTGGCCATATGGAGGCCTCCCAAAGTATTTCCAGAATGTCTTTCCGCCTGCAGCTGTATTTTGCATGTACGTTCATCAACCAGGCAAAGGTCCAATCCGCCTCTCTGGCGGAAAGTGTGCGAGAATTGCCTCCCACTCCTGTATGCCATGAATCAGACTTGTGCTTTGTTACTATTCATTTGCAGGCCAAGGCGAACGTGCTTGCTCCTCCACAGGTGTCTCCTGAAAGTATCTGGCCTTATGGCAGAGGCAATACTGTAATCAGGCCAAACTACGCTTTGTGGTCGATAGGATGCGAACAATTGTCGCGTTTGGAAGCGGGCTCAGATGCAAAGCCACCTTGACGCATATTTATTGTTGGTTCCTGTTGGGCGTGGCCGCTTCGCGCTTTCAGGATTGACATGCTGCCTGCGCTGCCTCGGTGGAAGGCGCTGCTGCCTCGAGGTGGGCAAGGCACAGGTAAGGCTTCCCACGGCTGTCAGGCAGTTTTTGCTATCAGGAACCGGACGCTCGGCGATTCCATCCTCGGCTAGTTTCCTTTAAATTCCATCTGCTCCGCGTAACATGCTTCGGCAATGAGCGAAGCATGTTAACCACCGAGCCTCGGCATGAACACCGCTACGGACGGGTGCTCTCGGACCTGCATCACGTTGTGTCTGGATCAGAAAAGTATTTTGCAGGCAGCAAAGGCCCGGACCGCGGGCTTGTCGTCCACAAGCCATGTGTCAAGAATCTCCGGCTCAACATCATCCTACAGGCTTCACCCCTTTGAAAGTCAATTAATCAAGCACCAACCCAAGTGCCTCCGGTTTGGCAAGGGCAACGGAGCCTTTTGGTTCTTTGTCTGCTGGCAATAGCTCGGTCGGGCACGAAGCAGCTTCTTCTGATGCCGCATCTGGGGGACAGACTTCGTGGCTGGCAGGGGTTCCAGTGCTGTCATCGTGGTGGGGGCAGTTTGTACTGCAACCAGCGGAGACATCTGATCTGCCAGCGGCTGCAGTCTTGATGGCATCTGCTGCACAGTCTGTCTGACCCTCGTCAGGCACCATGTCAGCTTCCTCCTCAATCTGGGGGTTCACTTGCAGATCGTCTCTCTCCTTTGAATGTAGCTTGGATGCTTCGGATGGCGCCTCAGCGCTTAGTTCTGGTTCATTTGCCAATGCGCACTCAGCTTCCATCCTGTTCTCAGTCTGGCTGGCCAGCTCCGGCTGCACCGTCTCAGCATGGTCTGGCTGCTCCAAACTTGAAGCAGCTGCGCCAGCGGGCGGTGCAGATGGCTCAGGGGATGTGGATGCAGCGGAAACGTAGCCAGAACCTGCGCTCACGAGCTGGTCTTGCAATACGGGCTTCCAACAAGTTCACTGCATTTTGCATGCGCCCATGCGAGAAGCAAAGTTTGGGGTGGCAGGGTCTGATGTTCTTGGGTGCGTCTGAATTACCCTTAGCGGAGCAGGTTGACATGGGTCGAATGAATGAATGGACAGATGAATGAATGTCCTTGGGCTTCCTGGCTGCCCGGAAGTGATCTTAGCTCTGACGGCGATGGCAACTAAGCGTAACATCAAGATGTTCAGCAATGCTAGAGGGTCCTACATGAGTGTGAGACACAGGTGCGAGAGTTCTCTCGTAGGCTGGATACCGGTGCCGCTCTAATTTGGAAGGGGTCAAGCTGAGTTTGATAGCACATGGGTTTGAAGTCGCTGCTGCTGCCGGCCTCTATGGCAAAATGTGCCAAAACATGGCAAAGACACGCAACTTAGGCTGTCCTTCCTGCTGGGCATGGCTTTACGCTTAGGGTGCTGGCTGCCTGTGCCACGCCCCTGCACTCACCATCACGAATTTTACACAGGGGAAGGGTCCCATGTCATTGTCAAGTAAATATGAAGATAGAGGGACAGAATCAGGGATGCCTGGACAAACGTCCTTCGCCTGCACCGTATCCGGTGGACCAGACGTGTCCTAAGTGCTTGATGTCACTTCGGGCCCAGAGCAGCATTGGACATCAGCCACCTGCACTGCTAGGGCTGCCGGCTCCTTGAGCTGTGCCCTTTTCTGTACCTGAACGGCCCCCAGCAACAAAGGAGTGGACAGAAAGCGTACCATGTTTTCCGTTAGCACTTGGGCACTCTGCCACCAAGTTGCCATCGGCTCTTGCAATCACAAGGCCCAGGGCTTCAGCTGTTTCTGGCGGGAGCGTCTGGGCAACAGCTGCCTTTGATGCTTCCGACATTGCAGCCAGAATCGTCTCTCGATTGCTGCTCCCCATCAGCAAGACCTCAGGCGGCAACCAGTTGCCTCAAGTTTCAAGGGTTGCTTTGGCTGAGGCTGAAACAAGTTGCCCAGCTTGACGGGGCGGCATTCGGCCCAACATGGTTGCCACTTCTTCGGGCAGGAGGTGTTGGAGCGTTGAAAGTCGAGCTTGCAGCGCATCAGCAACCTGAGCTTGATGCCGTCCCTCCCGCTCGTCCATTAACATCCGTCAGCAGACGGTAAACTGTGCAGGCGCTACCTCTTCCTCGTCTTCGCTGTCCACATTTGCCATGGCAGGCTGGTGTTTGGTTTGTCTGGTCGCACGCCATGTTTGCGTGGCAGTTGTACTTGTTTTGCTGCCTTGCCTAAGGATGGCAATCACTGTCACATGTAGGCTGGCTTCATTTGACATGAGCCTAGACTGCCGCACATGAATACAAATACAAGCTAACATGGCAATAAAATGTCTGCAGCCTTCAGCGCAATATTTGAACGGACGACGCAGGTGCCACTTTTGCGCCAAGTGCTTGATGCATGCACACCAGGCAGCTGGAGGGTGTGCACCTGCGCCGAGCTGTTGGAACCAAAATGCACACTGGCCGATAACACTGCTAGGTCTTCTGCCTACTCTTTTTTGGTGAAGGCATTCGCGGCCGCGCCTGCAGAGTTTGTTCAAAATTTGGTAGGAGCATGTACTTGGACAATTGGCAAGTAACCCTAGATCTGCACCCTGCATCTGAGGCTGCAGCGAGCCGCCTTCGCTTTTGCCTCCAAGTCTTTGATCTGGTCCGCCCATGAAGCTTCGATTTTGGGCTTGGCCTTGGCCGCCAAGTATCAAATTACCCATCGCAGGGGTAAAGTGCGACTAAGTTTTGGCTCATGCCTCCAAGCCTCTTCGAGCGCACCCTGCCCTACAAGCCTCTATTATTACCGGGTATGACCGACGGCAGGCCTCGAAAGTTTTGGGAAGGTTTAGGTGCCCAGCGGCATAGGAGCAAGTTTAGAAGCTGGGATCCGAACCAGGAGCATTTAGGCGCCTCTAAGCACTGCCGGCCTCTTAGGCAAAGAGGCGCTGTGCGTTTTTATGGCGTCTGTGGGCGCTTATGCGCTTCGAAGCGCACCTGGTCGCTGAGGCGCTTATGGGTCGGACCTTGAGGTTCTATGTCGGTGGCCCCTGGAGACTCAGCGACCACATGTGTAATGATGAGCGATCACTTGACATCTGGCTGCAGTGGACTGCAGACCTGCGGTGGTGAGAGCTAGTGGCCGAAGCTGTGCAAGGTCTACTGCATGGCACAAGGACTTATATCGGGCCAGATTGTGCAACTAGAAGGGCGCGATTTGCCTGACCGAGCTTCCGTCACAAAACTGCTGCAGGTGTTTGGCTCAAATTGCGCGGCTTCAGCATGTGAACACCATCGGATTTCGGCATGCGCGTTCCACTGGGCTGAGGGTTGAAGCTTGCATTAAAGTGGAAGCTATTTTTTTTTACAACGAATGTTTGGGGCCGGTAGGGGGGTTAGGGATTGAAGGGTTTAACAGGGTTAGGGTTTAGAGGAGCGCGGACATGTATGATCCTAAGTCTCCTGTGTTTCTCATGAACCTGGCTGCAAGCACGCCTCTATAAGCCTGTAAGCTTCTATGAAGCCTCTAAGCCTATAAGCCTGCAAGCTCGCAAGCCTGGACACCTCAATTGCGCCTGGCTGGCAGTACGCATCTGTAAGTTTTTCTGGCATCCAAGCCTCCCGTACTGCGTCTGGCTGCCGACAAGCCTCAAAGCCCCTGAGCCTCTAAGCTTAGGCGCTCGGGCGCTTTTGCGTACTTGCGCGGGCGTAGGTAACGTTTAGGTGCTTAGGGGCTTTAAGGCTTCAAGAGGCTGATCCGGACCCCGAATAAGCAGTCCTGCTTTGCGCCTGCAATGAGATTACCAAACCCTGTATGTTTCACCGCATCGAACATACTATCACATTCTGATGCGAATGGGCATGTACGAATTGTACATTTGTGATCACTCGTGAGGGTCCAGCTTGCTGAATGCCGAAAGTTGCGACAAGCAGAACCCTAAATCTAGCACATCATATTAAAAGAAATTATAATCACAATAATAACAAAAATAATACATGAGTAAAATGATCCGAAAGCTCTGGTGGGTTCCTGACATCGGCCATGATCTCTTCAAGCCTTGCCTCCATCAGGACAGGCAGAGTATGGTGTGAAAACTCATGCTGCCACATCCATTTACATGGCATTATCCTGCAGCAAATCACCTGAGCCTGCTTTTGTGCTTCATCTATCCTTCCTTGGGCCTGTACAGGACTCCTCAAAACTTGTGCAAGTGCCTAGGGCGAATCCTGGAGGCCGCCTCTTGTCGAAGCTTATCTTCAGCTTCTTTGAGCCTCTCTGCGATGGCCTGCTCACTGCTGGCTCAAGGCTCCGCTCCACTGGTTCTGCACCAGCGCAGGCCTGATCCAGTTTCTCTTCTGCTTCTATCATTCGGGACACTTTCTCTTGAGCAAGCTTGTCTTTGGCTTCCTGCACCTGTGCCTGCGTAGCAGCTTGCAGCTCATGCAAAGAGCACGCGGTCAAAACAAGAAAATCTTCTCAGCATTTGCGCCTGCACGTCTGCCTCTGCTTCGCTTTGCAAAGCTTGCAGTGCAACTTTCATCTGCTAGCGCCGTCATGATTGAATGGCGGAGCGCAGAGTGCAAAGAAATCCCAAGGCAAAGCGTGAACAAGGTGTGGATGCAGCAATGGGTGCAGCGGGCCTCTTCCTTTTGCTTTTGTTGCAAAGCAGGCTCATCAACCGCTACATCCTGAGCAATCTGCGAGGATGAGCTGGCATAAGTTGGTGCACTTCATCGGGTGTGTAGGCAGCACCTGAGGTTTTGGCAGGGTTGGCTTTCAATCTTTCCAACTCTTCAGCGGCTGCAGCCACCGCTCGCTCTGCTCCCTGCTGCAGCAACCCTCCACCAAACGACAGCAGAACATGATAGTTTCCCCAAAATAGGGGGACCCAAATATAGACCCAATATATTATAGTCCTTATTATTGGGACCCTGCAAAATGGTACCCCTAATTTTTGGAATTTTACATGTGAGAGATCCAAGGATGGCATTTGACACCTTGATGGCTGTGGCTCTTGATGGAAGGTCTGACCTCGGTGTGAAGCACTTGCCACAACTTTGTGTAAAACCTTCTTCTTAGTCCAGGCGCCGTGCACCTCAGAGCTGCCAGAGCTTTCCGAACGCCTCAGGTGGAGAAGCGTGGAGAAGTACCGTTAATGCAAGACCATCAAAGTATGTGGAGTGCGTGACCTCTTCCTGCGCAACTTGCGACGTCTTCGTCCTGAGAAATGGTCCACTGGGACCTAATTTTTCCACTGCTGAACCAGAGCAGCTTTTGCGCGCTCTTGTGGGTTCAAACTTTCTCCATGATAGGCCTCGATGGTCCCGCCGCCGACGATCCCGCCTGTGCCTGCCCCAAGTCGAGGATTGATGATTATCCCATACAGGCGCCCAACCCTTGCTGCGGTCCCAGCCTTCGGCCATGTGCCCTGCGCCGGCCCTGAACTTCAATTAAGCGCACACATGCAAAGTGCATTTGTGTGTTGTATCTTTGGTTGTTGCTGGGTACCTGGCTTTGCCATGCCTGCGCCGTCTGCGAGCTCTGCTACGGCTGCGGCTGGCTGCAGAACCAGAGCCCGAGCATGTCACCTCAAAAGTCAAAGGTGCCTGACCTCCCACCTCATGCTGCCACGCAGCAACGGAAGAGCTGTCCGTCGCCTCCTTCCTCTTGCGCTTGGAGCCTCCCAGCACACGATAAAGCAATAGGTGCAGCTACAGTGTATGGCTTAAGACAGGCATCAAATTCACAAGCCTTTGACATCCGCATTCTTTGTTGCGGCTGTCTTCAGGAACTCCTCCAGAAACTGTACCTTGTGCCTTCGCACTGGCAGAAACGTGCATGCCATGTCAACACTTTGAATGTCCCAGCCTTGCAGGGTCATACACGCCATCACCATGCGCATCACAATAAGCATGCCATGTTTTTTGGAAGCCAGAGGAGGCTTTTTGATGGCTCTTGACCTGCGCTGAAAGGAGAGTATGTAGACCTATGAAAACTGCGCAAGGCTTCTTGAGCTTTGCCTGGTCGATGAGGCCTTGTCGAGTATCATCCGCGGCCTGGGCCACGTCCTTCCGCGCAAGAATCATTACGTGAGTACTGCGGCGCGCCGGCAACTAAGTGTCCCGTCCGGCATGTTCTCCAACGCAACTTGGGCTTGTGCGCTTCAGCATGCGGGCTAAACCAAGAGGACTGCTGATGGTTGAATTGGCTACAGACAATTTCAATGAAAGTGGCCAGTTGGGATCTAACGCTAGTCAACTGTTTGTCATGGGCTGGCGTGTACGCTCCACGAGCTTTGAGCTTCAACTTGCGTCATATCCACGAATCCGTGTACACCTGCTCGCTTGCAAACTTGTGTTGCACAGAATCAGTCCCGGCTTGTTGAATGCATCCCCGCTGCTGTATACCTGCATGGGTGAAAATGCAGAATGCTCTTTGGCTCAGGGCTCGCAAGCAGGCTGCTGGCCATCTCCTCTGGCCTGGCTCCCCCACTAACATAGGAAGGAAACTTGGAGGGTCACGGGGACTCAGTAATTAGGGTAACAATGGGGATGATTAGGGTTACTATATGGGTTATAGGGCTAGTAACCTACTAACTAAGACCCCCTGACCCCCCAAGAAGGGGCATGGAAAAGCAACTGGACGCGACTGGGTCATTTTGTCACTTGCATGGCTGAGTCCCTGTAGTTTCCATTTTCTTTTCCATTATCCCTATATAACCCCATACATTATCCTAGAGGTTAAGGTTCGAAGCCAGGCCTGAGCCCCCACAAGGTGATGGCATTCGCATGCGTTCGCGAAATGCATCCACTTCGCACCATTGCGGAGGGTCTCCCCTCAACACGACGCATTTATATACCTTGGGTACTGCCCCCACACTGTAACAGCATATACTAGGGGTCATATTATTAAGGGCTACATATAACTATGCTAGACTTTATGACGAGTATTATCCAGCTGTTACAGAGTGAGGGCAGTACCCAACATTTAGCTTCTGCAAGCTTGCAGGAGATGCTGCTACTCTGGGTGCATGTGGTGCTTGACATGTACTGGGCACCTATGAGCAACTCATGCTTGATTCACATGGTGAAGCAGAAATTGCCAAAAGCCAGGTCAAATCTTCAGGGATTACATAGGTATATCTAGCGGTGGTATTGGGATTATGTGGATAGTGGAAAAGAAAATGGAAGCTACTCGTGCAATCACGCCTGTTTTGGTAGATGCTTGGTTTTTCTGCTTCTTTGGCTTGGTATTCTGCCAAGCGATCTGCACCAAGAGCTTCTGCCAGAGTGGTGCGTGCTGCTACCAGCTCTGCCGTAAGGCTTCCGCGCCGGATCTGGTAATCTCCGCCGAAAGGGTAGTTCACATCTATAGCCAAACGATACAAGGTGAGAAAAGCTAGCGTCAGCGTGGCAAAGAAACAGCGATCTACGATGGAAAACTCGCTGTTAGGATCTGCCGCCTCCCTCACGGCGAAGGAGATGGAGATGAAGATTGATAACAGCCCGAACGTCCAGAAGAAGGTCGGTGGCAACGTCAAAGACTCTCTGGATAATCGCCCGGCTCGAAAGTCCCGCAAATTGTTCAACATGGACAAGCAGACCTGCAAGTCTGGCTCATACAGTGGCGCTGTTGCTTGAGACTCTCTCCGAATACGGCCCCACTTCAAAAGTGCCTGTCGAAAGTTGCTGACACTGTCGCTGGCCCGGTCACGGTCAGCAATGTCCATCAACTCCTGGCCCCTGGTTCCGAAAGCCATACGCTCTGAATGATGCCACAATGCTTCCAATGCCTTGTCCTCATTGAAGGCCACTACAGCCTGGGTTCGCCTTGGTATGGACTTCTTGTCCAAAGAACCAAACAATTCGACAGTGTGCTCTGCCAGGCCTGACAACAAAGCGCTTTCCTTGACTGACTCTGTTTGAAGATCAGATAGGCGTTGCATCTGAACACTCAATGTCACGCCTGCATAGCTACCAAAGACAAAGGTTTCCACCGTGACGAACTCCGTGACAACATCTGCAAGGTCGTCGGTGTTTGCGCCAAGGTCATCACGTAGAAGACCGCTCAAGCATTTCACCACCGCCGGGTATGCAGCAAATGCCAACGAGAATGCAAGGATTCGGTAAAGTGGACTCTCAAGCTGTGATATTGGAACATTCGGACCATTTTTGCGCGACAAATCCTTCAGCCGCACTGGTAGGCCCTGCATTGCACGCTCTAACGCAGTTTTGGTTGCATACGCACGTGGTCGCTGGAAGATGGACACGTCAACAGTGAACAGCTTGCGAAACCAATTGCCATCCGCATCATCTGATGCCTCTTGGTCCCTGGCTCTTCGAGACGCTGCTGTCGAGCTTGTCCCTGCAATGCTGCGCAAGGTGCCGGCGAACACAGCCGAACCAAGCACAAGTTTGCCTTCCCACCCTTTGTTTGTCGCTGAAGGCCTGTGCCGCCAGCCTTTTTTGTCCAATGGGTTGCGGCCCACTCTACAATGATCTTGCCAACTGACTGCGCCTTTCAACTTGCAACCAGGCTGCCCAAACATCATGAAACCATCGTGCTGAATCGCACATCACATTCTGGACAATACGACATTTGACTGCACTAACCCTTGATGGGCCGATAGTTGCGACATGAGCCAATCCCGAAGCAAACTTAGGAACCCCGCAGCGACCAGCATCTCTCATGTACTCTGGAGGAAATGGAGGAAGGATACGATGTCAAAAAAGAATCGCGAGCTTAAAATGGTGGATAACCGAACCTGGACATCTTAGTATATGCTCATGCCGATTCTTGGACTTGACGCTTCAATCCAAAAATGCGTCTCTGGTTTCTGTGAAGGCTCTCTCGACCCACACGCCTCATGCTCCAGAATATTCGGACTAAAGAAGTGTTGCTTCAAGCTCTTTGTAGTCTCCTGGCCGCTTGAACTAATATCGCAGTTGGGGTACAGGTTTATTTTTGTCTGGTCCGGGCTCGTGGCCCGGTCCCGGTGGCCCGGTCCCGGTGGCCCGTGGCCCGGTGGCCCGGTAGCCCGGTCCCGGTTCGCGGTTACTTGGGCAGCCCAATCCCAGTGGCCCGGTGGCCCGGTCCGCACGGTGGCCCGGTCCTGGTTCCGGTCCCGGTTCCGGTCTTGGCTGTCCTTCTAATCTTGTGGCCCGGTAACCCGGTCCTACTTGCCAGCCCAATCCCGGTGGCCCAGTGGCCCGGTCCCGGTCCCGGTCCCGGTCCGCGGTGGCAACCGCCCCATCCCGGTGGCCCGGTGGCCCGGTCCCGGTCCCGGGTGTTTGGTCATGTTCCCATGTAACACTTGTGAGCTCAAAGGAGTCTCGCAGTGCCGGCCTTAGTAGCGAGCAGCAGCATTCCTGTGAAGGAAGTGTGTGGACAGGACTGACTGGGTGATTCGATTTGGAATTGAGACTTTGGTGATGTTATTGATTACTGACTGAACCCAAACATATTAACCTGGAT